ATGTTGTTAACATACCGTACTTGGACGTTCATACCGGACATATACCATAGTTATCTCACTGTTCTCATGAAAAAAAGTACGGTAATACTTGAATGCTTTTGTTCTGTTGATGTTTGGTATGGATTGTCAACATATACGTTTTTTTATATGTACCATATCTTGTGCTGACCCGGCCCACCTGTCAAATTTAGAAATCAATATGGCCCCCGAGCTAAAAAGTTTGCCCACCCCTGCCCTAGGGCATAAAAATCTTTGTCCTGATGTTTCAGCCAGTCGCTCACAACACTTTTGACTTGATCATTACTTTCAAACTTCGTGGCAACTACTGTGAACTGCTGAGGCAGTTCAAGAAAGACATAAAGAACAAACGCAGGGGTCATCAGTCAGAAGGAGTCATCTTGCAACTTGAAAATGCAAGGCCTCACACATCAGCCCAAACAGTGCACACCATCAACGAGTTGGGTTGGGAACTGCTCCCTCATCCCCCTTACAGCACAGAACTTGCTTCTTCAGACTTTCACCTGTTTGGGCCCTTAAAAGCGTTCATGTTGCAAGACCTGCGTTTGGCCTTTCAAAACCCAAATATTGCTAAAATTCGAGTTTTGAAAGCATTATTGACTATATGTATTTTACTGCATAAGTAAGTAGCCGCCTCCTCCAGTGTGTGTACCGCTACCGTTGTGTGTTGGCTGTGCCTCCAACAGTGATGAACTATCGAGGGAAAATATTGTGTCATCTTGTGTGTACAATACATGACAATAAAAAAATGAATCTTCTTCTTAATCATATTTGAGCCATTCCAAAATTAACTTTTTGTAATGGAGTGTATCAGCATATTAGATCTTCACTTAGAATTGATTATTATTGTTATTGATTACTAAATCCATTGTATTATTGGATGTAATCATGTTTGTACACTGCAGAAGAAAACAAAAGGATGATTACAGTACTGTATAGACAAATGCAGCACACACTTCACACAAAAAAAAATGTTATGTAAGGTGTATCTAACGCTGTCTCTCTCACCACTCCATGTTATTTTCTTAGATTGACGATAAGGAATTCGACATTCCCCAAGTAGACACACCTCCCACCTTGGAGAGCATCCTCAATGAGGTGAAGTATTAAATTTAAGTTCACTCTTGCAGTTAAAATCATGTGCTAAAAGAGGGGGAGACTGCCATGAAAAGATGCCAAACTTCTCACCTCCATCACCAAGAAAAAGTGCTGCACTGTGGGAGGCACAACCTTTTCCACCCCTCACCTCAACCCTCTGGAACTCCCTCAACCATGACTCACCTCTTTTATAAGTAAACCCAAATCCGACTTTTGAACAATGGTTGTCAAACATCTGACAGCAAGTACTACCCCCCAAAAAATAATGGTCACTCCAAGTGCCAGTATATCGCCCAAAATTGAAGTTCAGGCGCATAGTTGGCCGGAATGTTTATAAAACCAGATGGCATTTGTATTCCTAAAATTGTAATATTGCAAAAACTCAAATCAAACAGAAATGAATTCATAGTATTCCAGGAAAAAAATATTATGGGAAAGACAACACCTCAAAGTTTACAGGATAAACTTGAAATGTTCTGAGAAAAATATCCAAAATCATCCCAGACAAAATACGGAATGCTACTTGAAATGTCAACACATTTTACAACAACAAAAAAAAAAATCAAACAACAATGTACCGGTAGTTATATTACATGAAAAACATGTCCATTATGGCAGTAAATGCAACATACAAGAAAAAAAAAAAGGCATTTTACAGGAAGTCAAAACGTTATCAGGAAAAAATGTAAGAAAAAGCTGAATAAAAATTTTTTGCACATAAAATGTAAATTAAAAATATATACACAAATAAAGGTTTTAAAATAAACAGGTGCTACGTCATGAATGCAAATGAATTGAACTAAAAAATGAAACACCACTGACGTGTACTCAGATTCATTGATGTACCACGAGAGTATCATCAACCTTTTTGCAACTAAGAGCTCCTTCTTGGCTACTGATTAATGCGCAAGTGCGACCAGTTTGATAGTATGCACTTTTGAAATAAATTAGCTCAAAATACCTTCATATGTTTTAATTAATGATTAACCCTTTCATGCACCAATAATGATAACCTGTAACCCGATACCATGATAAGCTGTCCACTGGGGTGATCGTTGTCCTTGAAAGGGTTAATGATATTAATTTCTGAGAAGACACTGATCACATGAGCGATTTCTCACAATAATTATGAAACAAATAAATATCAATTGGCCACACTTGATTATAAATATCTGACAGTGTTCACATTTTGAAATGATTACTTTGACAATATTCCTAGAGAGTCACAGTGTCTCATCACCGGTGAGCTATTTTTGGAATAGGCCCGTGGACTACTCATGAAGCCCTTGAGTGCTCCCTGGTGTCCGCGGGCCCCAAGTTTTTGACCCCTACACTAGAGGGAGCACACCCCCCGCCCCCAATCAGGGTACCACTAGTGGGTACGACATGCGATCATCCTCCCATCTGCCCTCCACCCCCTCCTACTGTTGCGTTGTGCATGTTTTTTGCCTCTTTGTTTGCGTACACATGTCGTGCATCTTGGAGTATTCATAAAAGCCTATTATTATTAGTAGTAGTATGAATAATAATAACAACAACAACAACAATAATAATATTATTAATTTAAAGAACTGTTCAACTCAAACAAGTTACCTCTGTAAGATAAAAATGTTGTTGCAGTCATCTATAATAGAAATGCAGCTATATTGTACTTGGTTTATTTTTTTTTCTATTTTGTTTTCTTTTGAGATTGCAGCTGGAGGATGAGGAGGAACCGTTTGTGCTGGAAGATACTTGGGTGATGAATACCGAAAATATTGATGCTCGTTCCTGTGATAGCGCTTCCCTTGCCAGCTCTGACAGCGGGGACCCAGCTCACTTCAAACGGTGAACGCGCATACACACGATCACACGCATACACATGATCACACGCACGCACGCACGCACGCACACATCTACACACACACGCACACACACACACACACACACACACACACACACACACGCACACACACACGCATACTTTTTCCGTATCTTTCCCATAATACTTCGGTACTCAAGTTTGGTTACAGTACCATATTTTCTGCACTTAAGGCGCTTTGGATTATAAGGCGCACCTTCAATGAATGGCCTATTTAAAAACTGTTTTCATATATAGGGCGCACTGCATTATCTAGCGCATAGAATAGAAGCTACAATAGTGGCTGCGGTTGCGCTATCCATCTGCTAGATGGTGCTGCACTAAAAAGAAGACAATACAATACAGCCTTCACAACCGCTGCAGCTGTAACAATGAGAACTGGGCACAAACACGGACATGAAACATAAATCCAAATGGGATTACAAATCATAAATGAAAGACAAAAGTTCTAAAGACAATTGATTCAACAAAAAGGCTCACATCCGGAAGGGGTTAAATGTTTTTTTTAACAACAGCCACCTGCCTGGCATTGCGCCCTGCTAATAGAAACATGTGTCGCAGCCTAAGACGCAAATCCCCGTTGACAGAAATGTTGACATTTAATATTTGTTCTACACATTTGTACAGCATTGGAAAACATTATGAATGTTTGTGTCATGTTTTTCCTCCTACAGAAACTATATGTCAGAGTTTTTCTCGGACAAAGTTAAAGAAATGACTCGGCACACAGGGAAAATTGTCTTCAATATCGGCGGGAGGGATCTCTGAGGGCGAACGGCAGTTGTTGCCCCGATGATCACACTCTCGAGCTACCTTCTCGCGAGCTCCCTTCCCGCCAATTCGGACTTTTACTGTAACATACAAGAAAAACACTGCCCCCGATATTTGCATACCGCAACCCCGGTCCGGCCCCTCGGTCGTGATTGGTTACCTTGGTTTAAGCTTTGAACCACCGGTACGTTGGCGCCTTTCTGTCTGGTCTACACTGAATCAACATGTTGCAGACTTTGCGGACGGTAATGTCGCCTGGGCGCGACAGGTGTTCTCAAATCGTCTTTAGGTTTTCAACCGCTGTTCCCGAATTATTCATTCCCCCTTTGTGACCGAGTCTAGCCCTCTCTCCTCTGATCGCCCACCTGCAATGGCGTGCTAATTGTGGACTTCAAAAGCCCTCCACCCAGACGGCCTTCGCCTTTGTGCACAGGCATTTGGGGGTGCTGGATACGCACCCAAACGTTTTGACGTGCCCTAATTAAATGAAACTTTAAACATGATACAATTTTACTCATAGATTCCTCTAACACCATATTAAAACAAAAAAATATAGTTCCTTTTTTTCATTTTCAAACCTTTTTGAAAAAGCTCCAGGAAGCCACTACGGTGGCGCTAAGGAACTGCATGTGGCTCTCAAGCCGCGGGTTGCCGACCCCCGGTGTCAGTACTTAACTTTGCTTTTGGTGTGATCTTTGTTTCATAATTGTTTTGAGTGTGTTATGGCGAATGCACATGTCAATTGGTGTCGGGCAGAACCCTTTTACGTTACAATTGGTTCCTGCTAGTATTCACCACTTGATGGCATAGGAACACTAACAGGGAAACAACTCAATGAATATAAAGACAGTTACAGTCTCTTTATATGAGGTGCATCGTATTATAGGGCGCGCTGTCGGCTTTTGAGAAAATTGAATGCTTTTAGGTGCACCTTATAGTGCGGAAAATACGGTACGTTGTTTTACACATAGTACAAAACCAATTCCAATGAATTTGCCACATTGTGTTTAAACAAAAAGAAAAACAGAATACCTGTACAATGATTTGCAAATCATGTTCAACCTGTATTTAAATGAACACACTGCAAAGACAAGATATTTCATGTTCAAACTGATAAACTTTCCTGTTTTGAGCAAATAATCATGAACTTTGAATTTTATGGCTGCAACACGTTCCAAAAAAGCTGGGAGAGGTGGCAAGAAAGACCGATCAAGTTGAGGAATGCTCATCAAACACCAATGTCCCATTGTTCATCGGAATTGGTTTTGTACATACAAATACAGAATATAATATGATACATGATTAGAGTATCACTAGTGAACATAGGGAATACTGTATCGTACCTAAAAATGTTCAGTCACGGTCGGAACCACATTGAAAAATGTAGCATGATATTTTTCTGAATGTGTCTGTTAACATTGTTTCTGTGTATGTTTGAATGTTCTTCTTTTAAGGAAGAAGAAGGCAGTGGAGTTGAAAGCGGCAGTTCATGGATCGGTTCTTCGACACAGCATGCTTCAGGGCATCTCTGCGCAGATCGTCTCGGCTGCGGTAAAACTTGAAAGTTCATTATCGATAATCTCCTGGAAAAAAGCTGTTTTTCTATCTATCTATCTATCTATCTATCTATCTATCTA